CAGTTTTTAAAAAGTGAGCATTCTTATTTTTCAGACAGATATGACATTCACAGGCCAACCCTCTGCCTTATGGGACATGACGCTTCTTTTACACAGAGCTGGTATCCAGTTTTGAGAGGAGTAGTCTGCTAATTATTGCAGCAAAACATTTTAATTACTCGAGCAAGGTAAGGTTGTTTTTCACTGTTCTTACAGTAATTTAAATAATGCCTCTTTGAGTGGCTGTTTTTTATTTTATTTTAATGTGTCATGTGAAGTAAATTAATCTTTTCAGTTCATGTGCTCTTGTGTTGAAATGGCATAGGACCACATGAACAATGTTAATGTTATTTGTTGACCATAACTTCAAAGAAATGCTGAACAGCCCCATCTAGGTATTCAGATCTTGCTTCTCCCCAGAAAGAACACATTTATCTTTTTTATATAGCTTTTTAATATTTGTATTTCTTATTACAATTCATACAAAAATCTCATTCTTTTAAAATTTAAATATGTTCAAGACTATTTATTGCTGTTGTATTGTAACTGAACTACCTGTGTTACTAAACTAATACCTCAACATCTCACTTGAACATTCATAAAGTAGGCGGCAAGGGATAATAACCTTTTTTTTAAGTCTTTTAAAAAGAATACAGATTTACTGAACATTTCTTATGACACAAATGGCACAGTTGTACTTTCAAAACAGGCTGGCAGTGTGTAGAGGCACACCCCACACAAATAGCACCTCAGGAATTGAATCCAGAGTCCCAGATCCACCGTGCCCTTAAACAACACATTTGCTTTAGAAAATAATAAGGTGCAAAGCAATCAGCAGTGCTACATTACCCTCTAAAAACCTTAATGAAGGAAAAGGAGAGACTATTTGAACTGAGCTAATTTTTGTTGCTTTCATTCAAGTAAAATAGTAAAATTACAAAATAAGATAAAAGCAGTCTAATATTTTGCAAAAGAGATACCTGAAAATCCCAACTACACTTCACAACACAGAAAGGAATTACTTGATAGTTGTACACAGCACACTTCTTACTTTTATTGGCAATACTCCTCAAGTTTAAAAAAAACTGAAAAATGGAAAAGTCACATTCACTTTTTTTTTAGAATATTTACAAAAAGGTCACTGATAAAACAGAGATGTGTAACATTTTTTAAGATAATTAAATTAAATAGTTACAAAAAAATGCACAAGTTAGAAGCAAATACCTTAAATTTCAGTGTAGCGTAGCATTTAGACACTTCTGGTTTAAGTTATCCTAAAATTAAAAACATTCGAATACATATACGTCAAAATATACTGCTCTGTAGCTCCTGTGGATGCATTTCAAAAGGCAGTCCTTGACATGAATATGTCGTCAGATGTTGGAAGCTTTTGGAACATCCTGAATGTCTGCAAGATTCAGCTTTTGTCTGAAAACAAAAAGTTAAGGATTACATTTAAAACTAATTCTATGCTTGGCATTTAAACAGCAAGTGCTGGATTCTTCTTGTACGATAACTGCTTATGTAACGCATTTACTGTAGACCGGGCAGTTTGCCTAGAGACAAAGTGCTTGATTCAGCTGGCAACATGCATAAAAATGAGTGTCAAAGTAAGATCATTTTCATTTTCTAAAACTTGGTTTCCATTAATAAACTACAGAATTACACCACCTTTTCATTAACCTTAAAATTAGAAAAATGTCAAACTGATTTGTGGGTCATGGAGACTACAGTCTCTGTATTTCATCTTTAAATATTAAAAAATTGATTCCTTTGCAAACCGGCTATTTTTGTGAATACCAAATTACTAATGGGTTTCCAAGATAAGGTTCTTCAGTTATCATCTGCAACTTGTTAGACATAAAACTTAAAAGAAAGTAGGAGTCATATTAAAAAAATACCTTTTAATGTTCTAAAAAGACAGCGTAAAAGATAAATGAAAAACATTCGAGGTTAACACATGAAACTGCAAGGACTTTTCTGTGGCAGTTAAAGACTTCACAGTGTGGTACTGGAGCAATCCCCTTGCACCCATTAAGATATGGTTCTAGTTTAAAGGCAAAACAAAATCTGACTTGATTCACATCCACATAAGGAAAGGATACATTGAAGAACTCAACTCTTCAAGCTGTAAAAAAACAATCAATAATTAAATA